TGCTGCGCGAGCTGCACTGGTTGCCGGTGGCCTTCCGGGTGCGCTTCAAGGTGTTGGTCATCATCTTTAAAGCGCTCCATGGCATCGGACCTGGATATCTCCGAGACCGCCTTCTGCCGCAGGTTACCTCCCATCGGCCGGTACGCTCCCACAGAGTGGGTCTCCTCAGGGTGCTGTCAGCCAGACAGTGCCGGCTGGCAACCCCCAGGGGGAGGGCCTTCTCGGTGGGAGCCCCCACCCTCTGGAACGAACTACCCCCAGAGATCCGGGTGATCCCGGATCTCCCCTCCTTCCGCCGCGCCCTGAAGACATGGCTTTTTCAACAAGCAGGTCTGGCCTAGGGAATTTTAGTGGGGCTTTTAAGGGTAATTTTAAGGGTAACTTTAATGATTGGCCTTTTCAAATATTTTCTTTTAATTTGGTTTTAATATAGATATGTATTGTATTGTGGTTTTATAAGGCTGTTAGCCGCCCTGAATCCGGTGAGGAGAAGGGCGGGGTATAAATTAAATTATTATTATTATTATTATTATTATTATTATTATTATTATTATTATTATTATTATTATTATTATTATTATTATTATTATTATTATTATTATTATTAGTTTTTAATTTGTGTCAGGTCAGTATCGTCTTTAGGTATTAGAGAAATATTGGCTTCTGTCCAGGAATTTGGTATTTTTGTCACTGAGAGAGTTTCATTACAGAGATCTTTCAATATCGGGCTTACTATATCTTGTAAAGCTACATAAAATTCTGCTGGGAGGCCATTGGGTCCCAGAGTGTTATCCTTCTTTTGCCTTTTTATAGCTTCTGTAATTTTCATCATTGTTATCTTCTCATTTAACATATATTGCATTTTCTCTTCCTTTCCTTAGTAGATTTCAATAGTCTCTTTTAATATCTGACTGGATCACAATTCACCAAATCCAATACTCAGGTGCTTCATATGAAAACTGTGGAAGTATTATATGGATTTATTATAGATAAAATTTACATAACAAGAATCTCCCTGCCTCCAGAAGCGGTGAATGCTCCAACATTGGAAGTTTGTAAGAAGA